GTGTGTGTGATGTGTGATTCCATAACCATATGAGCCCAAAGCAAGTGGCTCTCATGGCTGTTCAAAGTGATTTTGTTGGCTATTGTTGTCTATAGCGCAAAATAATGTAATAGGCTATTAAAAGGTAACAACAACAAAAACTGATCCATGTTTACATCTTATTTGTCTTTAAGCTGGAGTGTGTACATATTAATTGTGCATGTTAGGTCAAATGAACTTCTGTAATGACATGTGGTCACTCAAATCAAAATAAATGTGTAACCACATGGCCCTTTAAAGAAGTGACAACACCAACAGCTGCTGATGCATTATACAGTGTTCATAGGTGTTGAATCGTCCCACAAGCTGTCATTGTGGAGACCGTTCCACATGATACAACCCTGGTGCAAATCTACAGTTATACGCCACGCACTTGTCTCTAGTTTGTCTCTCTACTGCATGTAATATGTGATTTCTAAATGTACCTCATACATGTTACTTCACAGCTATGCCCCCCTTTATCCTGCCCTTGGTTATCATCATCAGCCTCAGTTTGGCTGCAGTCATCATCAGCGGTGTGATATTCATCTGTTATGTAAAGTAAGTCATGCAGATAAAAAATAGTTTTTGCATTTCTCTGTTAGTGAATTATATGCAAGGCTTTTCCCTTCAACACTGTAACTCCTATGTTGTGTTTATGTGACATGTTTGGGATTTTTGTTAATTGATTTGTCCAATTGATTTTAGGCTCAAAACAAAGTGGAGGGACACAGTTGCCAAATGTCCAAATCCCAAACTTGGTGTTATTCATCCAAGCGAGCCAAAGGTGAGTCACCTCGTGATGTAAACTTGATGTTGGCTGAAAATAAAAATGAAAACTTGCAGCTTCAATTGTTGCATCTGTTTATTTTACTTAATTAATTACATGTGAGCAGCATATTTTTTAATCCTTAATGCTGTTTAGTTTGGGCATTTTCTAACGTTAGCCATTCAAAGCATTTACATTCTGCATTCTACTCTTTTATTGAAACGTTTCAATACAGTATAGAGTTTGTATGGCTGCACTGTAAACATATATAGCAGTTGTACACTAGTATACATAATAGTTAAAAGTAATAGTTGTGTGTTGTATTTGTGACAAAGTAGCTGCTCAGCAGACGTTTCTTGTAGTAATAAACTGCTCTTGCTGTTACCACCAGCAGCCCTGGTACGGGTTTCACCAAACCAACCAAGACTGACATCTTAATGATTAACTTTAAACTTCTCCACATACTTTCAGTAAATGTGTCAAACAAGTCAATTTGAAAATGTTTTTTTCCTGTACTGTTAAATCATTCATGGAGTATCTATTGGAAAATAACTTTTACAAATTGACCCATTTAACCAAAAAGTTTCAAATCTGTAGTTTTAATTGTTTTTATCCTCCTTGTTGCAGGTCTTGGAGCCTGGAACAATCGTCGTCTCCCCTGCCTGTGTTGAGCTCCTTGTCCCAGATGACAGTAAACTATGGTTAGTGTGGCTGCACTACAACATTTCCTTAAGGATTTCTATGTGTTTGTTTTTGGCTCTTGAAGTCTGTTTCTCTCTATTCAGGTCGAAGGGGTCACTGGGAGACACTAGCAGTGGAAGCCTTCAGCAAAGCAGTGGAATCAGTACTGGCTCTTCTTGTCTCAGTTATGCTAATACAGAACCTGCTGACATTATAGCCTGTGTTGACGATGCCCTTAAGAAAGTCTTTCCCAATATCGCCCCGTTCTCACCTTTGACCACCAAAGACAGTGGTTTACTCTCCTCTCCATACAACCCTTGTGGTGTCCGAGCTGATGACATGAGTTGTTGGTCATCCAGCTTTCACAACAAAACCTATTCCATCCTCATTCCCAGCTGCCCACATCAGATTCTGACGGACAGCTCTGAGGTCCAGACGCCGGCTGAAATGCTTTGTGACTCTGCATACCGTCCTAGTGCGGGTGACATTGTGACCTGTGTTAACCCACAGGCACCAACTTGTCCGCTTGTTAATTCACTACCAGGGGTTCCATCTATTATGCCAATGGACATGTCATATCAGCAGCGCAATGCAGATTCTGGGGCATTTTCATATGCAGAAGACTCCAGTTTGTCCGCCGTCTCTAGCGGCACCAACACAATTGGGTCATGTGATCCTGTGTCCAGAGTTGAGGTCAATTGTGAGAGCTCTGAGGAGGCGGTTCGTGGTGCGACAAAGCAACATGGAATAACTGAAGGGGCAGCTAGGTGTGATGAAAACCCCTGCTACGGCTGCGTGCCTGCAGGTTCATGCAGCTTTCCTCCAGTGGATGACGACTACCAGCCATTTCAGAATCTGGTGAAGCAGCCTGATGTTTTCTTTTCCGAGGAGAGAAGGGATGAGAAAGAGGAACATTTGAACAGGTATACAGAGGAATTATTGACCAAGTTGGCTCAAAGCTTCCCATGTTTCATTAACAATGTCCAGGGAGGCCAGTGTCTCTCTGAGCTCCAAAAACCTTTTCTCTGTTTGATCCCTGCAGACCAGACTAGGCCATTAACCTCAGACAGCGGCTATCAGAGTGTGTAGGGCTGAATTTTTATGCATTCATTTTTTGTGTGTCATTTTTGCTTTTTTAATTACTGAGAAACATTGCTGAGAAATGTAGATGATGAGAGTGAGGTAGAGGCGGATGTAACAGACAGTGAATGGTGTTCCTACGCTTTAAATCATACCTTTGTCATACGATACCTTTGTCATGGATATCTGCACATGAAGAGCATGTGATACGACGAAAGCTCCACAACAGTTAACAAATGGACTTTGAGTTGACATTAGTTTCTCAACTGTGACATGACTGTTAAAGTGTATGACTGCCTATGATGTGAAAAGAATCCCTGAAGTTTGTACATAAAAATATTCACGTAAAATTTCTGTCATCAACAGAATGCACTTGTTTTGAGTTTTTAATGTGTGCTTGCTCCAGTGCTTGAACAAAACAGATACAGTCACTCGCATGTCCGTAACTCACATGTCATATTCAACTATGTTATGTGTAAGGTCAAATGTGTTCCCTAAATGTTGAATAAAGCAAAGAGGACTGTGTCGCTGTAAATCATGTCTAACTATCCAGTCTGTGCTGTTGTGTTAATAAGACTTCAGTAGAAATGTGAGTTAACAGAAGGCTCATTTCTGGGAGATAATTTCAGTCTCTCTCTGAGCTTACTTTGACTGAGGAGTCAACATCATATGTACACAATTTGGCCATCAATACTGAGCCTTTTAAGGAAAAATACATTCAAACTGAGTAAACGTCTGAAAGCAGACAGCTGTCGTAATGAGCTGGTGCTATTCGGGCTTGTGAAATGACTTCCTCATAGCTCTTCTCTGGAACTGCTGAGCAACT